CTATCATCAATTCTTTGTCATCCTTTTCTATTCTCCACTACTCAGCTCTTGACCCACCTATTTCTCTACTTTCAAGCCATCCCCTCATTTCCTGACACTCTCCCTTGATTATCACAACCCATTCCACTTCATCCCTATTCTTCCATTATTTTTCTATCGTTCAAAACATCCTTTCAGCCTCAAACCCTCTCCTCTGGTTCTCCTTCTACAGCACATAATGCTGTGATATACTCAAAGCACTAGAAAATAGCATAACGAAATTGTTCCCTTTCTTTCCTTCATAACGTACTTACAACAAACATCCCGACCGAATTCCTGCCAATCTTTACTCTGACCACAACCATTTCTTCTTGCACACCCATTCACAATCTCCAAGAGATCCCTCCTAGCACTATTTTGCTTCAAACTCTGCTCATTCAGGGGAAACACAGTACCGAACTTTTTCTGAAAAACAGATCCTTCAATCGAGCTGTCTCCTCCCGGGGACCCAAACAACCTCATTTGTATAATACGCATTCTAGGCAGACAGAAGAACACAGTGAGAAGGGAGGGGATACTGTTCTTATTGGCGCATTTTCCCCTATAAAAAGAAGCTTAACATTAAAGAGAAGAATATTTACGAAGATATATGCGTAAGGATAATACGGCTCAATGAAAATACCTTTTGTGGAGTCTAAGATTAAATGCTGATTCGAAAAAACCTCCGATAGGTATTCAGAGATTTTAACGTGAATTTTTTCACACCCATACAGAACTACAGGCAAAATTATAGTTTTGTATATTCTAATTTTTTTAATATACAAAACTGGGAAACTTGGTCTCTAACATTGAGGGAGGAACACAGACTGAGGATGTCTGAGAACAGGGTGTTGAGGAGAATATTTGGACCGAAGAGAGAGGAAGTGACAGCAGGCTGGAAAAAACTGCATAATGAGGAGTTTCATAATCTGTACGCTTGTCCAAATGTAATGAGAATGATCAAGTCAAGAAGGATGAGGTGGGCAGGACATGTAGCATGAATGGGGCAAAGTCAGAAGGAAGGAGACCACTGGGAAGGCCAAGGCATAGTTGGGTGAACAATACTGAAATGGATCTGAGAGAGATAGGATGGGATTATATGGATTGGATTGATCTGGCTGAAGATAGGGATCGCTGGAGGGCTCTTGTGAACACGATACTGAACCTTCGGGATCCATAATGTGCCGCGAAGTTCTTGAATAGCTGCGCAATTGGCAGCTTCTCAAGAAAGGCTCAGCTCCATGAGTGAGTGATTTGTTTACATTTCTTCGGATAGAAATGAACTTCAAAAAGTACTTTGTAAATAGACTTAAATAAACGATAATTATTGTACTACAAGATGAATCTTTATTTATACACTGTAGGTGTGCCACACGGAGTATCCCGAGAAGAGAAGTAGTGACGCCACAGGAACTGGAAAGTCTGCAGCACATCGACCTTGAATTCATGATTCACTTACCTGGATATGAAAGGTGTTTGAATGGAAACAGTACTTGAGGTTCTCACAGCGTGATTATGAACATATCTATGTTCTGGGATACCAGTATAACGCCGTACAGACTGTCTAACATGAACCAGCGATTCGGAGGAGCATAAGCCAATCAAGAAACCAGCGTTAAGCAGATGGCAAGAGGAATTCTAATTAACAACAGTTTCATGCTGGTTTCTTGATTGGCTTATATTCTTCGATTCTGAAGATAAAGGCAACACGATCCACCGAAACGTCGGTTGATTTAAACGGACTTCAGGGCCTTGTTTCCTAGAAGACAGAACTCATTTTAATAAAAATCTGTATTCCTCAGTCTCATTAAATTAAATTCCTTGGACGATATTATACAAGACGAGTGTCGTTTCGGTCCAAGAGCTGAACACATTTTACTGCCGAAGATCTTGTTATGATTCGGTTAAAAACGTTAGATCTATTACACCCCTTCATCGGACTCCACGGTAATTTCTGACAGAACAGCTACTGCATTCGGATATCAGCATGGACAAACGAACTTTCAAGCAATATAATAAACCAATTAAATAAGTATGTGAAGTCACATAACTGTTCTGAATAACCAAGTAAGAAGACTTTCTGACCTGATGCTTCGTCTCCTGTTACCCTGCGGATTGTTCTGTATCTTTAATATCATGACTTTAGCCTTCTTAAGAGCTTAAGCTTGTCCAAATACGGAACTCTATAGCCAGATTTATGGGCATCTGAAATTCAATTTTTAAGTAATATTAAAAACATCCATGATCTACTTGAATACCATCTAAAATTTGAGGTTTTCACGGCGATGACTATGAAGATTGCCGTCTTCTGGGATTTGGCGCCACATTCCAGAAGACGGCTTACCCGTCCTTGTGTAGCTCAACAAAAACCCGCTTCGTTTCGTGTTTCTCTTTCTGCATTATTTCACAATTTTTTTCGGACTAACTGGCCATCAGCAAGTGTACGAAGTGTGTTTACGGAGTCTGCTCCCCTTTCCTTTGATGTATACATCCAGATCATGAGAGAATTCGAGTGCAACGGGATGCTGAAATGTAATATTTACCATGATTTAAATATAAGCGAAAATATGTGATCTTACGTGGGATTATATAGTTCCACAAGCATTTCAACAAAAATACTTTAAAGCGTATGGTCCTGCAGTCCGGGAAGATCCCGATGTTTCGGAAAACATATCACCTCCATCTTCAGGGTCGAAGAGTAAGCTAAGAAAGAAAGCAGTAGATGCGAGAGGCAAGAGACACGGTTTTATAAGCCAGAAGAATGCACCCAAAGTCACCGACGGGAGAACCCCGAACCGAAAAAAGAAATACTTTATATGATAAGAGTTTTGCAGAATATGAATAGTTTTAATATACCAGGTATATGAGTAAGTTCTCGTTTATTAGCCATGATATTGGTTCTCGTAGCTGCTAGGGGCATTGTCATTTCTGCAGAAGTTTAAAGGAAATCAAGCTTTACACAGTTAAGTAAAGGTAAACAGTTTAAGAACAAGGAGATCTACCAGGGTACATTTGACATAGAGGGCAGATTGTGGACCTAGAACACCTGACAAGCTTATGTCATTGTACGGACTGTCGGCAGTAAGTGTGTACTGCATATGATTATCTGCGCAGAGAAGAGCCGGGACAGCTCAGTCGGTATAGCGGCTGGCTACGGGCTGGACGACCGAGAGATCGGAGCTCGAGTCCCGGTAGGGTCAAAAATTTTCTCTTCTCCACGTCATCCAGACCGGCTCTGGGTCCACCCAGCCTCCTATCCATTGTGTACCGGTTGCCTTTTTCCCGGCGGTAAAGCGGTCGGGTCGTGAAACTGAACACTCGTCTCCAACTAGTGACGCGGTCAAGAAAATGTGGATCCATACATCCACTCCTTTATACGCCTTCATGGCGTAATGCTTAAATAGTTAAGAACAGGAACAATTTAAACTTTTCATCTGTGCAGCGAGGGAAGCCTAGTTATGGAGCCCTTTCTGCCGTAATTCTCGCAAACCCCTTCAGAGGAGGCGTTCCGCAGAGGTTATAAACTAGTGCTTTGCATTCAACGATAAGAGGCGTGCAATAGCCTACATTGTGGAGTTCCAAGGCGTATCCTTAACAAAGAATTACTTTATACATTATGGCAGTGTAAGACGTTTCGATTGTTGAGTGTTGAAATATGAATAGTGATGATAATTTATACTCCATAATAATATTCAGAGATAAAGTGCTTAGAAAATCACGGTCATAATATAAAGCAGCTAAGCTCTTCATTTTGCCACACAGAGAGCGGTTTTACGTTTGAAAGGCTGCCAGAAAATTCTGAATAGATGGTAACACATCTTTCCATGTTGAACAACTTGTTGAATTAAACGCAGGGGCTGAGATTTCGAAATGAACCATCCGGCTACATTATTCAAATATGACAGTACAGTGTGCTTTTTTTTTCTCTTTTGGCCGTAAATTACTTATGAACGTCGTAGATAATTGGAATTTAGAAATGATTTAAATTTTCTGACCCTATAATGATGTAATACACATACAGAATGCTTTCTCATTTGCATGAAACGCCTCACAGCAACAGGGCGATGAATGTAATATTGGCTGTATACTCCTAAGTCTACGGTTAAGATTCCGACCGTTATATTCCGGTTTATTCGGGATGGTACCGGGTTCTTTACTTTGTTCCGGGGTCCAGAACGGTTAATTAAATATTAAAGAAATGTCCCGGATATAAATTCTAAATCATTCTTACATTCTCAAAAACTGACATCCGAAGGAAACGCCTGTTCTGAAACCACCTGTTACCCAACAGAGTTTTATTATACAAATGGATCGGAGAGTTGTTATTGGTGTTAATTTTTTTATCCTCCTGTGCGGGGCCCTCTGATCTTGACTACCATTATTTTTCTCTGGAATTTCATTGCTAATGGGGTGTTTTGTGATGAGTTAAAATTTGTGAAATTTAATATGAATATAGCCCCTTCTCTGGGCTTCAATTTTTATATTCTACAAGAAATTAAAAACCTCAATGCAGTCAATATTAATGAAATGGATAATATAACGCAATAGTATTCACAGATTATACTTCATGACAGGAAACAGAAAATATGACAAATAAAACTTAGGAAGCAATAAAAATTAATAAAACTTCAGAGTGATCCATATACGTAATGTATACATGGCAATTAGAAATAAGTTCTTCATAATCTTTTATTTAAAGCCTAAAATTCATCTAAATAATATGTAAAATTCAGATCCTACCACACAGGAAACATATTACGTCTAAGTTACAAACCCCAACAACTTAATATTATTTACGCAAGGAATCTTTATTTATCGTTAGAATCCTACCAAACACACAAATACACTCTTCGGGCTAAATGCAAACGTTAAAGTGGATAGTACATTAGTAACCACTGGGCTTCATAGAACACATGCAATATGATACCTGACTAAGATGATCTTTATCATTAACATTGATAATGCATCTGCTGCTCCCCTACCTGTAGAGAGGTTTACCAGCGCTGTCTCGAAACCACAGCACCATATATACACGATCTACAGGGGTCGTAGGTTCGATGTCACACGGCAACGTCACACTTCGACCCAGCACAGCATCAACGCCAACAGTGCTCACTGAAACGAAAATAACAAAATCATGTACGTCAGACCATCCGTCTCGCATTATATACGTAGTGCGTTATTATCTGCAAATTGGCTGTGTCTTATTCTATGATCTTGCAGGTCTAAGCCGTGCTTATTTGGCAGAAGTTGAAATAAATACAAATTCGTGACAGCCATAAAGTTACCCCTCATTCTTTATTATCCATTTAGCAATTCACTCAGTGACAGCATATCAAAGCGTTTTATATAGCGTTACTTAAAAACTTACTAGACAACAAAACTTATTGTCAAGTGTATCAGTAACTAAAGACGGGGTTCGGTTTGGTAATTAGATTTATTAACCATCTACAGCTTGTAACTACAATTAATTATTACACTATTGATGTTTTACACAATTTACAATCACTCGAAATTAATTTTCTCAGTCTATTCCCACTGGTCTTCTCTATCCGTTTCCTGGCAACCTATTTATGACACAGGAGCTATAAACGTATCACTAAATTACACACTCCCAAATATAGATGTATTACAGCACATGTAACGCCACACAGTATGTCTTCTAATTCTTCTGACCACACTGCTGTTCCCTTGGAACTTTCGGAGCTCAAGTGAAGTGAATTCCCCTTCCCGCATTCTCTCATATCCTCTCGGCACGGACCACGCACAGAAAACACAGCCCCTCTATTGTTGCGTAGCGCAGAGCAAATAGAAAACACGTGTCACGTGTCATACTGATAGTTGATTGGTCCGTTAGCAGCATTGGACACGGCGCGGACAACACAGAAAACACATCGTCATCTATTGTTGCGTGTTAGACCGTGTTTAAGGAGCTGTTGTCTGGTAACGCGTTCATCAAATCCGTCACATTATGGTAATAAGTGGATACACTATATCTTCAGAACGTAACATTATTTCAGCTTATCTTAATGTTTCATTCAAGTAATTCGCTTTTAAAGCATGAATAAGGGCGCGGAAACGAAACTATTTCAATATGAATTTGTCATTTTTATGGACTATACCATTTGGATATGTCGACTTAAATGATGCAATAATTCCAGTGTTACTACATCGGACAAAGAAGATTCAGTGTTCTTACTCGTATTAACGTCCTTCGTATATACAACTGCCACATTCGAGTCTCTAGCCGCCAGCCATTCATAATTTATCAATACAAACCGCATTATCATTCCGCGCTATGTATCTCATGAATCGAAGAAAGCGTCATTAAAACAACCAAGAAGCAATTGCCCACACGTCACTTGAAATGTTACACTTTTGTATAAATGGATGATGCATATTACGTAAGTTCAACAACTTAGGAGGCATGATACAGCAGTAAGGAGAACATATAATCGTCTTGTTACAAGACTGCAATTAGATTCTTCATGCCCCATTGGCCTCTAATACCCGGGAGAAGCCACAGGAAGCAGACTGGTGTTCACAGTTACCTACTATATGCGATAGGAAAGTGAAAGGAGAAACAATTCTGCCAGGGATGAAATTCAGATGGGGTGCGTTTTAAACCGTAGAACTATTGCGTTATATAGAATTCTATGGAAAGCATTACACACGGTTCTCAGCTACTCCTCGGAGTCGAAGTAAGAATTACATATTCAAAGTACAGATAATGAATATCCTCTTAAATGATTAAAAACGAAAATTGTGTAATGACGTCACGACAGCGGGGTAAAATGTTGAGGTACGTTCTAACTTGCGGTAGGAACATCATTAAATTTAAATTAAAATGACGCGTTTATAATTTCTACACTGCTAAAAATATTGTAACATGACATACCGCTTTTCTGAAATCCTCCAGTTTTAACATCGCTTAATATAAATTCAGTATAAATTATCTGAACTTCCACCGTTACAGAACTTAAAAAGATGTGTTTCCGCTTAAGTTCATGTGGTCATCTCATTCCGTTTATACTGAAATCTACATTGCGTAATATGTAATAGGCACGTAAATATGTACTAGGTTTCTGGAAAATGAAGTTCATGGCATGAAAAATTTGGTTCTAGTCATGAAGCGGTAAATTATTTCTGCTGTAAAATTTGAAATGTTATATTCCAAAGCAGGGTTTTTATGGTCTCCAACACAACATAATAAACGTACTTTAGACCACTATTCCAACCTTACGACGCCATAAGGGACTTTACATTGTGTAACACTTGTCATTCACACAAATCCCTGTGTACATATTTGATATACTTGTTGCATACCTGAAATATAGCAAACAAGCATAAACTCGGCGCAGTGCAGGACAGCATTCTCTCACAGTGTGTAGCAGACATTCCGGTAGGAAATGTAACAATTTTTATCAAAACAATAATAAAAACAATATTAACTTGGACTATTTCGTTTCGTTCTCCCCAAAGCTGTCTCCACCTTGTCGTGGTTGTGGGGCTTGCGTGATTCTGTAACCTGGAGAGCTATGCGGGCGGTAGTTCAACTACCAGTAGAGTCACTCATGTCGGTAAGGTCGAAGGGTAGAGTCCAGACTAAGAGAGATACCCTTGCCCTCCAAGTTGGGGGTTGGGCATGAGGCTGACAACCTCATTCATTCATTCATTCATTCATCAGTAATCTGTCAGACGACAGGTTCACAGTCTCTTCCAAAACAGTTCCTCCACTTGTCTCCAACTGTCTCCAGAGGAAACATCTCGCATACATGGTATCTCTGTTTTTGGAAAGAGACTATCCAGGAAAAGTGATAATGTGGTAGTTTTTCCATTTGCTTTCCACATCGCAGTACAACAGCCGTTCAAACCACTCTGGTCACGCCTGTTGCTATACGAACTTGAACCATCTCGAGCATCATTTGCTCTGTGCTTCAAGTCGCTGTTGATGACGCTGCTTCCGGCATCAGTTTACGGTGGCCCCCAAACTCATCTTCTCCTCGCGGCTTCGCTCAAGCATCCTCATCCTGTAAAAATAATTATGTTCAGAAACCTAACAACCATCCTCGGGTCATCATGCGTGGGTCCATTCCTATGGCAGCACGCATTGGTTGTGGAGACTGGTTGTAGAGGAGGCCATGGCTTACCCAGGGCTGTAGCGGCGACTGGTATATAGGTAGATATTTCGGTTCGTTACAGCAACCTAATGACTTCAAGTTGAAGTTCTTGAACACACTGACCTTAAACACATTGTTCATATTACCTTTTAAATAGATTATTCGAACTCCGCAGCCATAATTATATTACTGAACGCGTACTTCCTTTCGTCTCTTGAGCGTCTTCTTAATGCTGGAATCACTTATAATCGTCTAATTCTGTCAGAAATGTACAACAGGTAAATTGTGGCATGATGACTACTATCCTCTGGCATATAACGCCTCGTAGTCCCTTCAAAGTCAACTCACGTTTCAGAGGAACATATCGCCTCCATCTTCAGGGTCGAATAAGCCGAACAACATACCAGCGTAAAGGTTTGTCACCTGCTTTCGCGCTGATATCTTGCTTGACTTATTCGGTCCTGAAGATGGAGACGGTATGTTCTCCGAAAAGTCGGGTTGATTTTAAACGGGATACATGACGTCATATGCCAGAAGATAGTAGTCTTCATAAACACTGTTGTGAGAACCCTATATCCAACACACTATGGCAGGGTTTTAAATGAAATTAATATTCCTAACGATCATCAAGTTCTGTGCTCCTCACGAGGTGGGAGAAAAGGCCTAGAAATGAGAAAGATTTCTGCTGGACATAAACAGGTTCAAACCAGAGACTTACAACAAGGTATTACCCCAGTACCATCAGGTTACGAAGTCCCTGGCATGTTTCTTTAATATTACCAAACATTTCAGGATTAATGGCTTGTGTAAACATCATGTATTTGAGATGTTATGAACTATAAATGATGAAGAATTATGGGGGAGTTAAATACGGGCTGCACTAAGGTGTTTCCTAGTTCATCGCCTAGAGAAGTGAAGGAATACAAGAGTCACGCTTTTTACCTAGGAAAACTATGAACTTTGTGATGCTGAAATTCAGCTCAAGGCGATAATGCTTACGTAAAGCGGTAACAACAACCCATATCGCCTTCTGTAGGTGCCTGCAAGTTTCTCTTTACACGTTTCCGTCAAGTTTTGCTACGTGGCACATACAATACAACCCATTTTCAGTAGTTAGAGTACCAAATTTCATTTACTTGTGAACAGTTTCTGGAAAATGAAGATCATTATTCGGTTACATGTTTCAATTTGTACTGTCAGACATTCAAAAATTATTATTTAAGATTTTGATCAATGTTATTGTTTAGAGATTATCAAAATTCATTAAGTATTACTCTTCGTCAGAGTAAATATGAAGATTTAAGGTTTTCTGGTGGGGAGCACGCGGTAGCGTAGTTGGTTGAGGCATTAAGCTACAAGTCAGAAGGTCGCGGGTTCGATTCCCGATGAAGTCATTGGATTTTTTCCAATTGCCCTAATCCTTTCAGCCACACTACGGCCCTGGAGTTTACTCAACCTCTAACTAAAATGAGTACCAAGAATCTTCCTGGGGGTTAAAGGGCGGCCGGCGTGTAAGGCTGGCAACCTCACTGCCATCTGTGAGTCAACTGTCTAGAAAATGCGAGAGCCTAGATGTCTCACACCCCTATGGGTCTCCACGGCCTGCTACAGGGATAGTTTCACGTTTTACTTTAAGGTCTTCGGCACAACATGACAACCCCACGCTCCGTAATCCTTGGCTGTGCAGTTTAATTGTCCTTATAACACTTCCCTGAAGTGATACTCAAGATATAGTGATTTTCACTGTATCTAGAACATATGCTCAGCATGGGTCCATCTTGTAAATCCAGGTGTGGCTGACATGTTCCTCACATAAACACACACTACGGAACATACTATTGGGACACTCGCTGCAATGTATGTGCCGTTATGCGTCTACTGCATGATGAATTTCCGCATACAGACTTTCCAATGTATGAGGAAGATTCGAACGAACAGTATTCTTTGCAATGTCTGAGATCACCTTTCTTTTTGGATCCATAACTTCGAA